CTGTGAGTGCTAGGGTTGCCTTCAGGAATGACCATATCATTTAGAGACACTTTAAAATATGACTGGATAGGATCCACCACTTACCTGAGATCAACATCTGTGTACATTGCTGATTCTTTTTTATGTCTCATTTTGGGTTGGCTAAAAAAAGAACAGTAAGTAGCTTCTGCCCAATATACTTACAATCATAGAAGGGTATGGTTTAGAAGGGACCTTTAAGATCATTTAGTTCCAACCCCTCTGCCATGGCCAGGGACACCTTCCACTAGAGCAGGTTGATATAAGCCCTGTCCAGCCTGGCCTTGAACACTGCCGGGGATGGGGCAACTTGATTTATGAAGATCATAATGAATCCTTTGCTTTTACCCTTATTTGCAAGTTAGAGGGTTTCCCCCCTTATTTTATGACTTGCAATTATTAAATCCCTGAGGTAGAACCTTCCTCATTCCCTTTAATTCAAAGACAACACAACCAGTGGAAGGGCGGATGACTTTCCCCGGACCACTCCAGATGTGCTGCAGCCTTCAAACGCCGCTCCAGATGTTCACCCAAGCTAAATGCCTACGTTTTATAAGGGCGGGGGAAGGAATCCCGTTGGCCACAAACCAATCCAACCAAACCCCATCGGTTCTCTGTGTGCCCACAGGGCTGCCCGAGCCTGACAGTGCCTGTGGTTTGCACTGTAACTGCTCTGGAAGATGAAACGCAGCCCGTTTATCCCGGCACCGTTTCCGTACGAAGCAGCGACCGCCGTTATCGGAACGGGAAGAGGAGGAAGAGGAGGAGGAGGCGGCGGACCGGGCTCTCCCGATGCCGCAGCGCCACCCCGCGGCTCCCGGTGCCTACTGCAGGCGCTGCCCGAGCCACGCCGCTGGCTGTGCGCGTCCGAAGGAGGATATACGCGAGCCTCGGTGCTCCTGACCCGAGGGAACGGGGCAAATCGAAACCTTCAAACGGAGTAACGAGCCTTCGCAGCGTGTTCGGGATGGGTTCAACGGGAGCCGACCTCGTTACGCCAAAGCCCTGCCCCGTTTCACTCCTCCTCACCCCACCAGCATCCTGACCTCTTTCAGCTGGGGTTGACGGGGAATTCCCAGGTAGAGGACCTGAACACCTCATCTAGTGATATATTAGCCTGCCCTCGGAGCTCCTTAGCCAGGCAGGTGCCCTCCACCACCTGAGGAAGAGGGGCTAGTGCCCAGGAAACCCGAGGCCCAGCACTCCACCTATAAGAACCATCTTTAAACACAGCATCACGTTTCCCCCCAAAGCTGAATTCCGTGATATTCCCATTTCTCTGTGATTCCTTTGCTTTCCCCGATTTCATTTGCAATGCAACAAAAAGCATTTTGGAGGAAAATCAGGGTGGGTTTTCACAGGTAGCAATGCATGCATGTGCTTTTTCTCTGTAGCAGATTGTGCATAGCCTGTAGAAAAGTGACTTTATTTCTGGAAAGCTGATTTAGGGAACAGCAAATGGACAGACAGCTGATCCCCAGGGAAAAACTGCAAGTCGCCACCAACAAGCTTGTGAAGAGACTACCAAAATCCATGTTGATGTTGCCTGGATGTTAACAGTATTAGCAAATATCTTATACAAGCCTAGCCTGTGGGTCTTCCCTGGTAACCATGCTGTCTTTAACAGCGTACATGCACGTAATCGATACAAGCATTTCTTTAAGGTCTGATGTATCACATTATAGTGGAGCATTGAGTGAGAAACTGGCAATAGCTCAACCAAATTAGAGCAGTTTGACATGAAAGGACTTTTGTCAGATAAAGTAGGAATTGTCCAGGGGGACTTGAAGGGGGTGTTTTGTCCTTAAAATAGCTGATTGTCCACACGTACATGCTCCGCTGGCAGCACATCAGCAGTTAGCCATGTGAGAAACATCCATTCCTCATTGGGTTTAGCATCTTAATTAAACATATTTGACCAACGAGGCCAAGGCAGAGGGGCTGAGTGGCCACGTCGCTGCAGCTGATCTATGCAGACAGGAGTGCTACATGGCAGATGTATCTTAATATATCTTAATATATCTTAATATAGAATCATAGAATCATAGAATAGATAGGGCTGGAAAGGACCTTAAGGTCATCCAGTTCCAACCCCCCTGCCTTGGGCAGGGACACCTCACACTAAACCATGGCACCCAAGGCTCTGTCCAACCTGGCTCCTTCAGGGATGGAGCATTCACAACCTCCCTGGGCAACCCATTCCAGTGCCTCACCACCCTTACAGTAAAGAACTTCTTCCTTATATCCAATCTAAACTTGCCCTGTTTAAGTTTGAACCCGTTACCCCTTGTCCTATCACTACATTCCCTAAGATATATCTTAATATATCTTAATATATCTTAATATATCTTAATATACTAATATATCTTACTATATCTTAATAGGGCCCCCACCTTTTGTCGTGCTGCAAGCAGCAGCTCCCGCACCCCACAGTGCAGAGAGCTTTGTAGGAGAAACCGTATTTGTGCTGTCTCAAACAGGCATGTGTTTGCATTCCCTTTCAGATGAACTTCAATTCTGACCCTGCTGAGGGTGTACTGCTTGCTTTGGAAATACTTGCAATATCCCCTAGAATGTTTATTTTCCACCCCAATATGCTGCTACATTCTTGCAAGCTCTCTCCGGTTGTAATGCAATGTTTGGCCAGGAAACAGAGAATACAAATGAAAACCAGTGCCTTGGTCTTTGGGAAGTGTAGCGAACCTGTGACAGAAAGTGTTTTATTGGAAAGGAGACAAAGGTTTCCAGAGGAATAACAAACAAAGAGCTGCTCAGCATCCCTGTAAGGCTTCGGATGTGTATTTCCTGGAAGAAGCAGAGTATTTTGCTTAATTCTCTTTCTCTGCCCTCAGCAGGTAGGAGAAGCAGAGGGCAGGGCTGGTGGTAATGTTCCAAAGCAGATAATGAGATGTTTTACAAGTGCAGTCACAATACAATTTGTGCGACCAGCAAACAGTAACAAAACGAGATGGAAACATCTACAGATTGTTTCCAGCGATGGATCCAAACCACAGGGTTTTTCCAGGTATTTGTTGGAGAACAGCACTTAAACCACAGCAGGCTCCAAAGGGTCAGCAGCAGGAGAACACTTCTCCCCTGCAGTGCTATGCGGGAGTCTGTCTGATGCCAATGTTGACATTGGGGTCCCTTTTTGCTAGGGGAAGAGAGCAGGGTCAAGACAAGACCTCTGTTTTCTGAAGCAAGGGCTCAACCCACCAAGTGAAGGAACAGAAGTTCCCCAAAACAGTGCTGGAGAACCTGAAAGCAGACCCTGGTGTCCATGAAGTCACAGCACCATCAGCTCCCCACACACAGACTAGATGGAAGCGCTGCTATCAAGGTGCGTCCGGAGCCAGACCTGAATTCAACAGCAGCTGGCCCTGTCACCGCAGTACTGTCACAAGAGGTTTTATTTGTGTTTGAAGTCAGACAATCTTTAAACCTATTGTTTTTCTCCTGTGACTGCAAACATAAACCTCTCTGCTTGTACCCTGGTAGATCTTTACCCTGGTAAAGCATAGCACATAGTTTAAGTCTTGGCTTTGAGATACTGTGTGCAGATGAGGTTCTTCTGGCTGTGTCACAAGATAGATTTAAAGAGGCATGAGGGGTAGTAGCATGGTTGACTTTCAACAGCAGGTGGATGCCTAATGTCCCTTTGCAGCCTTGGAGGTCATTCCTTCATGTATTGTTTTCCCTCCGGCCCATATAAACACTCTCCACAATTTAGGAGTTAAACCCAACATTAGCAGCAGAAAAATCCATGCACATAATGAATTAATTGGTTGTGGGCAAAGGCACAAAGTGCTTTGGGATCTGTTGACTATTCATTGCGCATAGTCCCGAGGAACTGATGTCCCTATTTAAAGTTTCACTGGTTGGGGGGTTTTGGGGGGAGTGGAGGGTGTTTTCCAGATCAAGCCCTACAACGGGGTATAAGGTAAGACCGATAAAACTGATTTCATCCTTGGTTAGCATCAGTTTCTTCAGGCTTCTGGCAGTAGCCGGACATTTGAACTATGTTTGTCCTTACTTTGTTGTGGATGGGCTGAACTACATTTTCACCTCTTGAGATCATCAGTCATAGCCCTGCTTCACCAGCTTCAGCTAATGACATCAGGACACCCAAAAGAGAGCAAGGAACTGCTGAATGAATCAACTGCTGATACCATTAGTGGTGGGGAACCTGGGACTCCTGCTATCTTCACCTTTGATAAAAGTCCAAAGGCAGCTCCAAAGAAAGATTGCTACAGAGCATGAACATTAACGTTACCTGCTTTACAACAACAATATATAAATATATAAATATTATAAATAACGAATAACTTAAATCAACCCATCTTTTCCCAAATGATTGGGATCAAATTCTGTCTGCTGGTCTGATAAAAATTCAACCTGTGTGTCTAATTTTCATTGGGGTGTTTTTTTAAAGTCTTCCCCATGTAAATAAAGTTTGGAAAATGCTAATGCAAGGCTCATTTTGCTTTAAAAAAGGCCTATAGAAAGTGTGCTCATCTTAAAACATTTATTCCCATCTGTTGTATATTTAAAGAGACAATCCTATTTTATATGGAGCATGCTTGGAAATACTGTTCATTTATCTTTGTCTAAGAAGCTAAGTGGCTACTAAAGCAGCCTTCACTTGTGAAGACAGGACAGCAGTCCCTCTCTTGACTGTTTGACCCAGACTAATCTCATTTCCCATATGGAGCCGAGCACCCCAAGGACTGGGGTTTTTGGCCCACACCAGCAGATGGAAAGACAGTTTGGGGCCGATCCTGATGTCATCCTGGTTCACATCTGTGGAAAACAGAGTAATGACTTCACTGTGAGGAGCTTGTGAGGTTGCCAATGAACTACTTAGGAATGCTCTGAAACACTTGTGAGAGCGTGTGTAAACCTTCAGTGCGACACAAACATCATCTGTGCAGCTTGCTTAATGCCTCTTGTGGTGTGGTAATATAAAGTTGGGATTGACAAGGTGATGGGGTTTGCCTGTTTCAGGCAAACAGGTTTGTTAAATCCACACAACCTTCTGCTCCGAAAGAAACCCTTGAAGCAAAAGGCTGGCTTCCACCCAGATTTAAAAGAGGAGATTGCTTTTCAATGGGCTGCGTTAGCAGGAGTCTGTGGCCAGCTGGTGGGAGCCATCGAGCCACTCTGTGATAGGTTATATAAGAGTAAGGCTTGCTCTAATAGCAGCTTTTTTTTTCCTTTTCTTTTTTGTTTTAACAGAGTTTTGGTTGATAGGAATCACTCCAGAACTTGAAGAAGGGAAAAGTCTCTCCTGGAAAGGTAAGGTGCTGTTGAATGGTAATCGGAAGTATTGGTTGCTTTATACATGAATAGTTCTTTCTCAGGGTTTGTTTTAAGCAAAGCCTTTTTTTTCCTGTATCTTCTGTGTGACCCAAAGCTTGCAATAATTCAAATATAACTTAGCATGTGTCTTACAGTGGTCATTTTATGTCCTAATTAAGGCCTTACCTTTAACATTTATGATATCATAAATAGAGCCATTAGTAAGCTCTAGAAGTATTGCTCTCCAGTTCCATGGCCCTCACCACCTCTTCAGTTTACTTATACTGGGTGTCAGTATTGCTGTTAGCACGTGCTTCCCGCACCAGTGCCGTGGTGGGCATTCCACAGAGGAAGTTTGACCCAGCTGGAGAAGAATGAGGTTGATTCTGGTCCTATTTCCAGAAAAGAAAGTTATATGGCTTTTTATAACTGTGGGGTTGTGTGTTGTTGTGTTGGGTCTTGTTTACCTGTTAACTGGGGGATGGGAGTGAAGGGAAACACTGCTTATTCATGAGCATGAAGAAAGAAAGCACTACTTTGGAACTGTTAAAGGATGTGGAAGCAAAGCAAGATTCTTCAGTGCTTCAAGGACCTGAGCAAAAGATTTGGTCTATGGCAGGTCTAGCATCGCAGACTAGAGCCTTGTACTTCAGTTACTCCTGTAATAACAGCCTAAAGTCCTTGTTTAAGCTCCAGTTTATGTTTGTAAAGCTGGCCTTGGATGCGTGTGGGGAAACACAGCCCTGGTTTTGAGCAAACTGTTGCCACGTTGGATGATGTAAAAGTGCCAAGTGAGGTTAAAAAGCGAGGTGTGCTTTTAAAGAGAGCTGTTTATGTGTCTGCAGGGGCATGGGGAGTAAGAGAGAGGAAAGGAGGTGAAAACTGGACCAAATTCACTTGTGGGTTTTGGTGAGTGTGTGTTGTTTTGTGGGTAGGGCTTCTGGTTGATGGAATTTCTAATGGGATGGGGTCTTTTTTGTGTGCGTCCTTCCATACACGCTCAGCTAGACCGGATAGAAGCCAGTGCCCCGAGGTGGACTGGCCTTCTGCCTTTTTGGTACTTCCAAACTCAAGAGACAGAAACAAAGCATCATGCTGCTTCAGAAGCCTTCTGGCACAGATCCCCGCATAAGATGCGTTTATGTGAGTGTGTGATAATGCTCATTATGCCAACAGTACTTCTTAAAGTGTTTCTGCACATCTGATTTTCCCAAAATGCATGTAAGTGCTTATGTGAGGAATGTGGTGGTTGTGGCTTTTGCTTTACATGTTGTAGCTCCCATGGTCCTTATCTTCAGCAACAATGGGGGTGGATTCTGTGGCTCTGCAAACATAGGATGTGTGATACTGGTTTCTTATCACTTGTGGTTTTAACATGTTCCTAATTTGCTGAGATCCTACAAATTCCTTGAAAAAACAACCCCAAAAAAGAGAAACTTTTTTTTTTAAAGCCACATAATTGCAGATTACATACAGCTGAGTTGATTTGCAACCACTAGATTTAAGTGCCCATAAGCAACATCCTAGATCCCTTACTTGGAACCAAGGTGTGATTTAGCTGCTTATTCATGTCTTCCTATTGAAATGTAATTATCCTTAGAGCAGGATACACCTAGTGCAACAATGAGGGTATGCCTGTTTTGTGGATGGGAAGCGTTTTGTCAAACAAACAAACAGCAAACCCTGTTTCTTGTGAAGGTCTCAACTCTGGACGGAGGTTTTGGTAGAAGTTCCTTTTGATTTCCAATGATAACACAAGAGTATTTCTTGTGTGTCTTGTTGGCACTTTTGCACCAATGTGTCTGGCAATGAGCTGTCTAAAATGACAGGAACTAAGGTGACTTAGCTCTGAAGTGCTGCTGCAGGACTGTGGTCAGGTAAAGAAGGTGGCACAAAATCAGAGTCTTGGTATCTCAGTTCTTTGTTTATTCATGGCGATGCCTTGCCTACCCCTTTGGTGTTAGCTGTTTTCCTTGTATCTAATCTTTTTGGAATGTAACTGTTCTTTTTGGCAGATGAAACATGAAATTGTTCCCAAATCAGGTTGTTATTTTGGTATAACAAGGTTGCTGAGGCAACAAAATACTAAGCAGATGCATATGACTAATAACATCAAAGGCCCAGCCTCAGTGTATTGTTCAGTGATAAGCAGGACTAGAATGACTTGCAATGAGTTTGGCCTCTCTTTCTTTGAAGACAACAGCTCTAGAGCTAATCTGGAGTGAAGGTGTTTGCACTCAATCTACCAGGAGATGTGCAGCCATTAAAGTATGTGAAGTCAAGCCAGATCAGGCACTTAAGCAGGAAGCTGCTCTAGCATAAATGGTAACCAATTCCATTGCTAGATTTCATTTTCAAGGAAATTAGGACACGCTGATTTGTAGCACTTAGTGCACAGGAGATGGAAAAGTACAGAGCAGGCCCAGCTCTTCTGTATAAACACTGAACAGCCCTTGCTAAAATGATTATGTCTAAAAATACAAAGAAATACATCCAATGAAGGAGAAAAGATAGGAATCGGTAGCTTTCACTGATCTTCTTTCTTCCCCATGTAGCTTTAAGCAAAGCTTAATTTCCTCAGGCAATATTAACAATTACTAAACTTACAAATTTATCTAGAGAATATGGATGCCTCTTTGGATAGCATATTAATTTGAGCCAATTCTTTTTTTTTGCTGGATTATCACAATCTCTTGAGTAAGCCATTTTCCACTAGGACAAGTCTTGCAGAGTGAAAATGAACAGAGATATGCAAATACAACCTAAAATAAAAAGAAACTTGCAAATGTGACTTTATTTAATTCTTACAAGAGGGAGGCACTTTTACATAAAAAATGTAGAGGTTTCCTTATAACTACAAAACCCTAAAATACTATTCTGCAACAACGGAAAGAAATGGTGTATGTGTGAGAAAATGCAGTGATTATTTTTGTCTTTCATTTCATCTCTATACCATTTATTACGCTTAAAATCCAAAACCTAAAAACCAAACAAACGACAAGAGACAACCCCACCAAAACCTCCTTTTTCTTCTATTATCACAGGCCAACAAAAGCACTGAGTACTGCTGACACTTTATTTTGTGTCCCTCATCTCTCATCGTTTGTATTTGTTGTACAAGGCAGAGACTGACCCAAGGGCTCTCAAGAATTCAGTGGGTGCTGTTGAGACGCTATAAGCGATCACGTGTGTTTGTCCTGATTTAGCTTTGCCCTGTGTGCAAAACCTGCTTATTTCAGTCAAGTTATTCATCTGCTTGGGCCCAAATGAAGAATGTGTGTGTTGGGATGGGAGGAGAGCAGGGAGGGATGCTTTCCTGCAATTATTTCCCCTCCATGGACTCGGGAGAAATCCAATCTTTTTTTACATGCCATACTAGAAAGCTGAATTAACAGGTCACTGGTTATTAGGCCCTGGGTGTCAACTATATGGTATTGCTGGTGATGAGCAGCTATATATGAACCAGTGCTGGGCAGACTCGGAGACTCTGCTGAGGCTGGTTGGTGTGCAAGTCAGAGCAAATCCTGTATTACATCATGCAAGTGGGAAGTAAAGTTAACATTAACCTTAGACAAAGCAATAATGTTGAAAGATGGGCTCAGATTCTACAATACCCATGTACTAATGTTACGACTTGACAATGAAAGAAACCTCACTAACATCACTGGGAATATCTCTGGAGAAAGGCATTCCTCAAAATGAATACTGCCACAATCTATCCTTCTGCACATACATTTCCACTTCAGTGTCTTGAGTGAAGAGAGCAAACCTCAAGTCAAGGATCTTGGCAGATAGATGTCTCTCCAGTTGATGGATGAGAGTATGTATTCATCGCTTACAGCAATCCTCTTGCTATTTATTTGGTTTGGGGTTAAAAAAAAACCACTAGGTGAGAACAGGGTGGTTTCTGATTGTGTGAAAATGAGGTTGGAAGTGGAAGGAATGCTCAAAGGATGCTAAAGTAATATTAAAACTCCTTGAAATAAGTACACCTGAGAAAAACAATATTTTTCTAATTACCTCTGCCATTAAAGTGGCTGAGCAGAACATGGCTTTACATTCTCATGTTACTAGCAAAATTTAGGCTTTCAAGTATGTCAGAAACACAACTGCAACAGGGCTTACAAATAAATTTCTTCTGGGGCTCTGTGAATGCAAAATTGACCTAGACAAAGGGAAAATGATGGACCTTTAGAGGGTGCTCGGATTGAGGAGTGCTAGATTTGTCATGAATAGAATAAATGTCTGCCGTAATTTCTCAGCTTTACAGTAATTTCTCAGCAAATTCCAGTTTGACATCCTGTGATGAAGACCAGAGCACATTATTTCCAGCCATCTCCTGTTTTCCAGGATTGCCTGGGGTGTATTTTAACCAACTTTGCAAGTAAATTACCTGACCTAATCCAGAAGTCTTTTAAAAGTCCAAAGCTGGGTCCCTGCGATAGAAGAATTAAAGCTGGTACAGTAAAACAAGAACTACCTGCAAAAACTGAGCTACTTATAAAAACAGTTCGGTTTTGAAGTTGCTTTACCAATACTGATACAACTTGTAAACATGTTCACAAAGAGCTTGGGCTCCGGATTCTGTTGGGGCTTTTTCCTTTTCCCCAAGCACGGATTAGAAGATCTGCAGAGGTTTTTCTTTGTGTGGAATGCTTGGAGACTGGTTCGGTTCAGATAACACAGGACCAAAGCTTGCAACTTGTGGCTTGGTGCTAATATAGGAAAACTAAGTAAAATTGGTTCTAAACAGAACTTCCTCAACTCTCTCTCCAAACTAAATATAAAGAGTGTAGTATGAAGATGGAAGATAAATCTAGCTTTAAGATTTATCACTCATATGAATAAAAGAACATTGCATAGAATTTTATCTTGATTGTCTCTTTACAGCTGAAAAGAGGGGATTTCCCTCCCCCCCCTTCTATATAAAAGAGAGGAAAAACATGCTGTTGATTATTTTCCTGGCACATGTTGAATAACATAATACAGGCTTCATT